TTGCATATGTTGTTTTTGTTAGGTACCACCGAGTTAGAATCAATTCATAGCAGACCTCTAGAGGGTTTTCAGAGACTATAAATTCCAGGGGAGGAGAGTGTCCATTTTTCTCACTGGAGCATCTCATACAGTGTAACTGCTTGATTTTGAGTTAGCAGCACAAGTCCTTGCACACTAAGCAGCAAAGGCTTCCTAATTTACACTGACAATTAGTTGCGTTGAGTCGAGTAGAACTCATAGCAAATGACAGACCTGAGTCCTGCCCTATCCCGAGCTGTCCCCGTCATGTCCGATACACTTAAGCCCATTGCTGCCACAACTGTGTCAGTCCATCTCATTGGGGATCTCCCTCTCTTTTGCCGACCCTTCACCTTTCCAAGTATGACTCATGTCCCTTTACAAGGAATGACCTCGCCTAGCAACATGTCCAGAGTACGAGAGACGGAGCTTCACCATCCTTGCCTCCAACAGGCATTCTGGCTGCAACTTTCTCCGAAATAAAGAACATACATATAGTCTAAAAAAATAAAATAAACAGTCCAGCATCTATTTAATAAACAATGATCGAGTTCTTGACAGAGAAACAAACAGCAGCGTAATCAACAGACATGCACTACTCCATGACTTTGGGAAACAAAATGCTGCCTCCTGTTGGCGTTCTCTGAGATAGTAACATTCTGGCCTTGGACTTGCCATTTGCTTTTGGTGGAGGCCTGTTTTAATCTGTGCTTTCTCTGTTGTGTGCAGGTTATTCTTCTCTGAAGACCGTGAGACCTCATGCGGGGCGGCCCTTCTTCCACACTCAGCCACGCAGCACGCCCAGGCTGGTGCCCCGGGCCCCGGCCGCCCAGCCTGTGCACGGCCGCACGGACTGGGCCTCCAAGTACCCGTCTCGGCGGTGACCACAGTGAGGCCCCTCGGAGGGCGAAGCGGGACCTCAGCTCTCTGTGGGACCCTACCTGCAAGAAACACTGGGACCCTGGAGAAACACTTTATAGTGGACACATTCCAACCTTGTCTTTTTTCTTTTTCTCAAGTTAGTTTATTTGATTCTTTAAAAAAAAAAAACTGATTTGAAGGCAATACCCTTGTTTTGTACAAAATTATTTTATTTGAGAAACTGGGTCCTGTTATTTTTCATAAAACAGCAGCATTTTGTACATATGAATTATGTTGGAATTTTATACAGTCAGCTTTGTAATGACTTTTTTAAAAATTAACTGATTTTTCTTTTGGGGTTCCAGATAATATTTTATACAGGTTTTTTTATTTTATGAAAAATATAATGAAATTGATGGAGTATTGCAACAGGGGTGCAATTTAAGGTGATATGATAAAGGGTTATTTACTCAATGTTTCTGGATATTTTGACGTGGTGGAATTTTAAATATGGTGGACTCGTCACTTCAAGCGTTCTTAGACTGGCATTAGCACAAGAAAAAAGGTCACCAGTTTTTTCACAATATTATGTCATGTTATTAGTTTTGGATTTTTTTTTTTTTAACATCAATACAGTTTTTCAGAACTGCATCCTTTTCTTGTTTTAATACCTGAAAGTTATCTTTTTTTTCCCCTTTCTACTTTTATTTTGGGGTTTTTTTAATACCACTGTGCTCTTTTCAAAGTATCAGCTCCTATGTAATTTATTTTGTTGTTGTTATTTCTCAGAAGAACTCCAAGTAAATGCTGTTTAAAATTGCTTACGAAGTTGGTTTTCTACCTGAATGAAGCCAAGTTTAATCGTACAATGCCATCACATTTTATGTTTTTTTCCTTCTCTTCATCTTTATGGTCACACAAAAGGGAAGTTTTCGAGTTTTGAGGTTCTCAACATAATGGTTAACACCATCAACTAAAAATCGATACCAGCCAGCATGCATGAGCAAGAAGCTGAATTTCAAAGCAGAAGAAGGAAAAAGAGTAATTGTAAGAAGTGATGGAATTCAGCTCAGCTTTGCAAACCTGGTTAGGAGTAAACAGTGAATCATTTCCTGCCCTAGTCAGATTCTCAGGGCAGTCCAGGGGGAAGAGGGATTTGTGGCAGAGATTCCACTTAATTGGGGGTCACGCTTGCCCCAATACTGTTGTCCACGGCACTGCATTTGAGCTCTTAACCCTTTTATCAGAGTGAAAAGAACTCTTACTCTATTGGGCAGAGGCTGTTCCATTGAGAGGAATGTTTACAGCAATTTTCAAAATGACAAAGCTAGTTTGGAAACAGAAAAAAAAGAAAACGCGAACAACCCAACAAAATAAAGCACAAAGTCCACTATCATTCATTTCTGTTCAGCGAGTTTCTTTTCGGTCATGGTCACTTGGAAGGCCCAAAGGGCAAGAGGACAGATAGATGAACAATCTCTTCCATAATGCTTTATAACCTTGGAAAACCTGATCGAGGGTATCCATGAGTCAGAATGTTTTTGTAATTTAAAGGGCTCTAACAACATCAGGGAGTAATTTGTGCTCTGGAGAATCTGGTTCAAAGATATATTTGTCTGAGTAGCTGTGATCTCTAGTGGTATGAGCAAAGTACATAATGAGTGTGGATTTGATAGGTAATATTTTCTTGTTAACAAACTGGCAGCAAAGCTTACGAGTGAACATGGGTGTATGCAAGCACAACTTGAAGCTGAATTCAGTTTTGTATTATATTCTCTACTCATTCTCTAAAGCAAATCTGTTTTCAGATATGAACTTTTATTTTGAAGCTAATGTTGTGTGTTTTTTTTTCCTTTCTGTATTCTGTATAAAAAGTAAGTTTATCTGAAACCTTACTCAGCTTTTTGGAAAGCTAGTTTTAAAATTGTAAATATTTCTGTTGAATTGTAATATTGAGTCAGATCTGACTTACAGCAGACCCTCCAGTGGGTTGTCAGAGGCAGTAAATTGCATCAGAGGAAATTACCCATCCTTGTCCTGGAGATACCCCCTAGAGAAGCAAATAGATTATGTCTACAGTTTCCTTGGCACTCTAGTTTAAAGGGTTTATTTAAAATTGTAAAGCCTACTTGCCTTGTTATTACAAACCATAAAATTGTTTTTCTCATATTTTTTGTTGAACCCCACTTCAGAAAATTATTTCATTTTTTTCCTCTTTTTCTCTCTTGTTTATCAGCCCATACCTTCCCTTGGGAAGCGAAGCACATTTATTCATACAAAAGTGAAGAAACAAAAGCTGAGAAAACAGGAAGACCAAAAAGCAACCTAAGTTCTATGGAACTTGTAAAATTGTATCTTTTCCCTCACCACAAAATGAGAAAGAATACAGCTTATTCAAGCTATATACTGTAGAAGGGAATTGTGACCATTTTCTGTTAAGTGAAAATAAAGTTCTGTAAGCTACCTGTCTTTTTAGTGACTGTGGAATTTTATTTATTTGTTTTACAAGACAACAGGAAGGATGAGTTGTAACTCATCTGTGTACCTATCTATGACTATACCTCATTTTCATCAGAAAGCTTTCTGGGATGTCAGGAGATGGTCCAGGGCTGGCTCTCCATGGTGTTCAAAGATTCAGTGGCTGCTGTGGGCCTCAACAGACCACACACAGTAGGGAAGCTACATGCATATCAAAGCTACATTAGAGATGCCTGTTACACAAGTCTTTACCCATCTTAGAGATAATTGGACTTAGGATTGGAGAAAATGGATTTTCAAACAATTTCTTGGACACACATCTTGGCTTTCGGCTCTATGGGAATTAGCAAAAATTGAGTACAATCAGTTGAGTACTTGTAAAAGAGAACAAGAAATGTTATATTTTTTATGTGCAAACACAGATAATTTTGGATTTAATAAAGACCAGGATTTCTTATGAAGTAGCTTATTCACTACTGTTAAGCCACTGCTTTGTGCCATTTAGGAAAGGGAAAGGAAGAGAAAAAAAAAAGAATAACAAGCTGTATGTTATAGCTCAATGTGTTACCAAAAGCAATACGTTCATGAGAAAAATGTTTGACATGCAAACGTTTTCCTATAATTTAAAGTATATTGTAGCAACATGTTTGTTTAATAAATGTTATTTTTAGAAGGATTTAGAATGATTTTTACACTTTTCACCCAAATGTACTGTACTTTTTATAATTTATAATGAAGACCTTCATATGGGAACCAATAAGAAGACAGACTTGAGGCAGATATCACATGGGTCTGTATTATCAGTTTCTTATAGATATTGTGCTAATGTGAATTCAAAATGACCTGAACTAAGTCTTCTTTCTCAGATAAGCTTAGTCACCTGATTTGATGACAAGGGAATAACTGAGACTATATTTATTTATAAAGCAAATATTCATAATAATGAGAAGACAGGAAGACAGAAAATTCCTTAAGCAAGACCTTTCTGAAAGAAAACATTGCTTTTAAAAATTAATTTTGTCTTAAGGTGTTTAAAAACATTTAATTATGTAAGGTAAATTCTCCTGCCCCAAATAAAATTACAGTTTAAGAAAGAGTTGAGTGTTCTGTTTTTGGTTTATGTTCACCCATCAAATCATAACCCTAAGATTTCACAATATTTCTAAATTAATTTACTCATTTGCAATTTGTGCTGCCCACCCAAAGACACTTGGTTCAAATCCACCAGCTGCTCTGCAGGAGAAAGAGAAATAATCTCCTCCCTTGTGGTTCACAGCCTCTGAAAACCTGCTGGAGGGTCTGTTGTCAGTCAGCTTTGACTCCACAGCACATAACAATGAGAACTTTCTACTCCTCACAGTGCCGCTGCCTTAATTAGGACACATGCACTTAGAAAAGCAACAGCAGGAGCTGTCCTCTCATGTCGAGGTTTATTCAACATTTAACAAGTCAGGTGAAAACCAGGTAAAGAAGTTCCTAATTTGAAGTAGGATTGTGCAGGATTCCATACAACTGAAAGTGTGTTGTAAGGCTGAGACCTGTCCTTCACCCTTGTTTCGGGAAATCCCTAAGTGTACCCCTCACTATCAGAGAAAGTCACTGACCTTATTTTGCAATTGTCAATATTTGTCCAATGTTGCATCCATTCAGATCCTTCTACAGTTACAGGGTTTTGGGGGGAGTTTTAACATTGAAAATGTTTTCATTGTTGCATATTTCCCCCCCAACCTCTTTCCTTCAGCCCTCCCTGCTTTGCACCCCTTGTTCCAAATTGTAGTTAGGCAATTTAAAGCTTTCTAACATTCTTGCTATGATAGCCTGTTAGAACAATGTTTGATACCAGTCATTTTATAGCTAAGGTTGAATTGAAGTCAGTTGTTTGCATCTTCCTTGAGTGTGGACATCTTAAAGACACACACACACACACACACACACACACACACACACATCCCCCAACAAAAAAAAGTATCTTAGACATCAAGTCAGAACCAACCCATAGCTGACCCTTTATTGGTCTCTGAGGCTGTAAATCACATGGGAGGAGACTGCCCATCTTTCTGCCTCTCAAGATGCTAGGTTTATGTTATACTTAATTCAATTAGTTGAACATGTGAAGGTGACCATTTTTGTGAGCAAAACAAAAAGTTTAGGAGGTCAATAACTTTATGTGATTCAGTTAGACGTGATTTAATAAATGTTTGGCTAAGAGAGTTGGACAGTGACTAAGGAGGATAGAAGGAGAATTGATGCCTTTGACCTGTGGTTCTGGAGAAGAGTATTGAGGGTAACAAGGACTGCTAGGAAAACAAACAGATTCATTCTGGAAAGGGTCAAACAGGGCTGCTCTTTGGAGGCAAGGATTCTAAGGCTCCATCTAACATACTTTGGACATGTTGTAAGGCGAGACCGGTTCTTGGAGAGGGCCATCACGCTTGGGAGGGTGGAGGGACAGCGCAGAAGGGGAAGACCCTCTGTGAGGTGGATTGATTCAGTGATTGGGGTAATCGGGATGGGTTATTGGAGACGGTGAGATTGGCACAGGACAGAGCAGAGTTTAGGGCTGTTCTACATAGGGTCACTAGGAGTCGCAAGCAACTGGACAGCACATAACAACAACAACAAACAACATTTGTCCAGTATTGTCCAATATTTGTCTAGTCTGTGTAAGTCAGGTATCATGATAATTGACATGCCATGAGATGGCATCCATTCAGTAGGCAACTGGTTTAGTTGGTTTTGATTTTTGAGTTCAAGTAAAAGAAATTTTTGTGCAATAACTATTGGGAAACAATGGAAAACTCACTTTTCAGCAAGAAGTGGAAAATAGGGATTCCTACTCATGTTAGATGAAGTATGGGAGACAAAGCTTCCACCATCCTTGCCTCCAATGATCACTTTGGCTACACTTTCCCCAAAACATATCTGTTCATTCTCTTGACCATCCATGGGATGTTATGTACGCTTCTCCAATACCACAGCTCAAAGGCATCAATTTTTCCTCTGTCATCCCTATTCATTGTCCAGCTCTGAGACACATAG